CGGGCAGACGCCGGGGCAGGCCCAGAAGCCTTCCAGACCCAGGGCACTGCCCGGTCGGGGTCTCCGATCTGGACCTGCCCAGGGCCTCCTGGCACGGCTGTGCCCGGCCCAGCCTGGAGCAGCGGAGAGGGCAGGAGGTCAGCGCTGCTGGGGAGACGAGAGCCTGCTGGAGAGGAGCGGGGAAGGGCTCCGGGTATCCCTGAAGAAGAGACTGCCTAAACACGTCCCGGCTGGGGCCGCTTCTCCTGCAGCACAGGCCGCTGTGACAGGGCTGCCTCCCCCAGGCCGCAGACCCTGACCGCGAGGTTGCAGCCCTCGGCAGCACGGGGGCGTGCAGGAGCAGGAGAGGAAACTAAAGGAGGGTCTCCCCAAACCTCCATCTCAGCTTCTTTCAGGAGATTAGACACTGGGATCTGCTCAGGGATCTGCTTGGAGGAGTCCCAGGGTATTCTTCCCTTCTGCTGCCCGGGGTGTGTCCCCGCAGGGGCGAGCAAACCTGCAGGGAAGAAACGAGGCATGGCTCTTTTTAGCATCCCTGGTGTTTTTATTTCAGAGGGACCCCGGGGGGCTGGCCGCCCCGCTCAGGCAGAGCTAGGGGAGGCAGTGCATGTGGTCCCCTGAGCCTGGCTCTTCCTCCCAGGCCCTCTGCTGCCATGATGATCTTTGCTGGTTTCCAGCAGGTAGCAGAGCCGTCTGCACCCATCGCTGTCCCACTAGCTGGACAGGCTCTGGATATGCTGGTGGGTGGGGCTGCACACCCGAAGCTCAGCAGAGAATCTCTGTCGCTGAGGACCTCTGTGGCCATGGTGATGGCAGGCCAGCCCAGCATGATCATCCTCCACCTGCAGGCAGGAGGCCTGAGCTCACAGCTCTGTCTTTACCCAGGGACTTCATCTCCCTCAGGGCAGTGGCTGCTTATCCCACCTTTGCTATTACCTGGCAAAGCTGCCATGCCCTGCCCTGGGAATCAAAGCCAAGCTCCCTGTTACATCCTGTTAACCCCTTGTTTCCAAGATCTCTCATGCATTCTCCAAGTGAGTGCCCATTGTCCTTGGCCCTGCACCACTGTCCCACCCCTCAGCCATGCCATCCCCATCACCATCTGCTCCCCCCACCCCAAACGGGACAACCTTCCCTGCATGGCAGCTTTGCAAAGCACTAATTAATCCTCATAAAGGGTCTTTTTAGATACCAAGCTCAGCTTTCGGTTACAGTGCAGATATGTTTCTTGCCAGACCTGGGCAGGCATCTCAGCCACCCAAGAACGCACCTTCACCTCCCCGCTGCAGGCCAGCTTAGCTAAAGGGATGGCCAGCTTTGCAGTGCATCAGCCACACAATACTTGCACCCAGCAGCCTTCACAGGACTGATTAGAAAAATTAGCAGAAGCTCCATCACAGGCCATGGAACAGTCAAGGGGGACAGAGGGCACAGCACTTCTGCCTAGGGATAACCAGTGCTGCCCTGGCAACACAACATTCCCTCTGCTTGTCCCCAGGGCACCTTTATGCTCCATCCAGGCAGGGACCTGCTTCCCCAGGTGGAGTAGGTCCCTCTGCTGCCCTGGTTCAGACAGAGCTTGTAACGAGTGGGGTCCCAGCAAGGGGTCCCCCATCCCTGATGGTTTTGGAGTACGGGGCTAGTGGAATTGCTCAGGTAGCCCAGAGGGATTATACTGGTCCCCATCCTCAGGGCAGGATGGGACCCAGAGCCCATCGCAGCACAGGAGGAGTAAGGGCAGCTGTAACAGCTTTGCAGTTTAGCACCAGCTGCCGCTGCAATGCCTGTTCTTAAAGCTCCCACAGGGTCCCCTGCACCTGTGGTTGGCAAGGGGACCACGGCCCCTCCAGGCCAGCGCACCCAGTAAAGCATGGGGCACATGCAGGCTCTTTATCAACATTTTCAGTTCTCCTTACAGGGCTCCACGCTTCATTTTCCACACACACAGGGCAGCTTGCACAAGGAGCGACAAACCAAAAGCAGGGCATTGGGGATTTCTTTAAGGCATCATCTCCCAGCCACACACAGCCAGATAAGATGCTGTCACCACCTCCCAGAGCTCTTGACTTGGCAGCAGCAGGGTGCAGCCCTTGCCCAGCCAGTCCAACAGACTAGGACAGAAGATGGGACAGCACCCATGAGAGCTTGGTCACCCGACCCTACCCTTTCAGCCCTCCTCCTCGCACTGCAGCCTAGTTCACACTAAGGAGCCTGGGTTACAGACCAGGTGCTTATTCAGCATTGGCAGTCATTCACTTTGTTTCTACCCACCTGAAGCTGAGTATCTTCTGGCAGCAGCCAAGACAGCCTAGACTAAAAGTCACCTGCAAGTCTTGCATCTCTCGCCATCCTGGCAAAAGCCAGCCAGATTGGCAGCCAGCGCACAGCTCGGGCAGCAGCGAGGTTTCACAGCTGGTTTAGCTTCAGAAGTTCAGCTCGAGCAGTTTGTGTCCAAGGGCCATAAGCCTGGCAATGCAAATGGAGCATTTCATACAAGCCCACAGAAGTGCTGAACTATCTGCAGCCTCCCAGAGCAAGTCACCCCACCTGGCAGACAGCAATAGTCAGCTTTTCTTAGACAAAACTATCAAGGTAGATGTATTGCTTGCATGCAAAGCTCCTTCATACTGCCAAGCTAATTTTGGTCAAGTATAGGACCATCTAAGAGCAGTCAGCTCCCATCCTCTTTTCCCCATCCCTGGGTCCCTTACGCAGGTAGCACAGCCTGTGCCCAATGCTGCCTGGAGTCCCCAAGCCACTCCACTTAAACAAGGGCTCTCAGAGGTGCTAGGGGACAGGCCAAGCTCTTGCAAAGACTCAGCTCCTTTCTTCGAGAGCAGCATTGCTCCCAAAACCCAGCTTTTCCTGACAATTGAATATCTCCATGAACAGGCTCCTCTTTTTCAAGCCCAGCAAGAGTTCAAGGCAGAAGTCTTGCTTCTGCCTCCCTCAGCTACCCCATCAGGGACTGACTAGCTAGGGCCATGTAAAGGTGATGACTTCATGGGCCATACCTGGTGTGGAAGCAGAATTAAACACTTTCAGTCTAGGATAGTAATCAAATCTGTTTAATATATAGTCAACATATTGTAAATGCATCTGAATCCTACAGTATTGCTATCAGCTGTGGCTATCAAACCCAGAAGATCACCTTTCTAGAAAGGCACAGAGAGGTAGAAGAGTGGGGGCATTTCCCCAGATCAGTTGCAAGTGAGAACGTGCACATGGGACCTTCCTCCTGGAGGCCTAAGATAATCAGAAACCTGTGCTTTTTGAAAGGAATGCTAATGGGCTGGGACAAGTACATGCTGGAGTAACAGCCAAGGCCTCCAGCTGCCCAGCAAGTCATGAAACTCTTGCTGGCTTTTGCCCATACTAAAAGAAAAATTATAAAAAGAAAGGGAGGTGGGGGGAACAGAAGAGCCTGGCTCTGTGTGCATGAAGGGGATTTGGTGAAGCAGGAGCAAGAAAGATGCATAAGGTTGCTTTTGCCCTTGGCCAGGGACAAGGGTGGTTATCTGCATTGCTTTGAACCCTGTTACCACCCCAGGGGTGAGTGAGAAGAAACGTCATCCTCCAGCATTGCCACCAGGTTTTTCTGCACCAGTGGAGCAAGAGCAAAGCTCTGGAGCAAACTGGGCATCTGGAGTGGGGACGATTGTGTCACCAAGCATTTGGCTCATCTTCTGTGGCAGCTGGAGTGGGAAGTGGCACCACGGTGGTCTCCTCATGGCAGGGGAAGTGTGGAGTCCTGCAGCTCTGCGGGAAGGCACTGTTCACCAGGGTGGGCAGGTCCAGAGAAGCTAATTCTCAAATTTTGCATACGGGTTCTCTTCCTTGAACAGGCCTAGAGGAGAAGAGAGATTCCCTTAGACAGCAGCTGCCATGCCAGTCACGGCCAGCAAGAAACCTAGTTCTTGGTAACGACTCTGTCATTCATTCTTCATCCAGCCTCCTGTCCAAAAGACCTGCTGTGCATGCAGTCACCACTATCTCACTCTCTTCCTCTGCACAAGAGGAGAGATCCATTAAGAAACTCAACCTGATGGCAAACTCCTCCCCCAGGCAGTCCATATAAACTCCAGGTAAAGCAGCACAACTGAACTTCCAGAGCACCCCTTCTGCACACTCCTTCTCTTGGACTGGACTTGGAAGAAGAGAGCCTAGACCCAAATTAAATTAAAACTGTTCTTCGACTTGCTCCCCTGCTCCTACATCCCCAAACTGGGAGCAAGACAGGGTACAGGGCTGACTTTTGGGCCAGTGACAGCCCCACACTTTTGAGGAACAGCCAGAAAGGACAAGATTGCACACTTTGTTGTCAGGCTGCAGCAGGACAGAGCCCTAGCATGGCAAGACAGTCCTGGAGCACAGCTCTTCCACAAACAGGTGCTTTCCCCACCAAGAACTCCTTCAGGCACAACTTTTCCTCCTCTTCCTCCCCCAGAGAAGCCAGCCCAGCCAGAGGCCCCTGGATCTCCTGCCCAACCTGCACCTGCAAGTTGGCAGGAGAT